GTTTGAAAAAAAAAAGAGAAACCCCCAAAAAAGAAAGAAAATAACATTTTTGCCAGAAAAAAAAGAGAGCGGGTGGCGGGATTCGAAGCCACGCCCTTCGTCCTCGCGGCCTTCCAACAGCTGAGCCCGGCTGATCCGCGCTTCGGCGGCAGACGGGGCAGGGCGGCCACGGCCTCGTGCCCTGGAGCGGAGCTGGAGCGGGCGCTGGAGCGGGAGCTACGCCACCACGCCGCGGAGCGGACGGCGGCGAGGCGACCCTGGCGACGCTACGCTGCTAACAACGAATCACTGCCTGTAAACAGCCGTTGCTCACCTCGCCAGGCGGGGCCGGACCGAAGCCGGGGGCTTCCTTGGCTCGAGGAACTGGGGCGGGCCAGGCACTGCTGCCGAGGCTTCGCTCTGTCTCTCTCGGAACCGAACGTGTGAGCCCACCAATGGACTACTCTCCGAACGAGGAATCCATTGGTGGGGTCACACGCTCGGTTCGAGTCCTGTTTAGCGACTCTGGAGCTCAAAACGCGTCTAGAGTTTTGGCCGGGCGCGCCGGTCTTCTGGCCCACTGCGCGGCGGGTGTCCCGCTGGGATTCCCGATCCAGGAACGGCTAGACTAGATAGACCTTCCGAGCGAGCGGAGCGATTCACTTGCAGCTAATCCAAGTTGGCGGCGCCTTACTCGACGTGGACTCCGCCTCCCCTCCGCCTTCTCGGCCGAGACCGCCAAGCCTTGTCCGCCGCCCCAGGCGCTTCCAGGAACCCGCCGGAACCCCAGAGTCCCGATTCGGCCTCGACAGGCGTTTAATTTGCCCGAATCGCGGTGTGGCTGTTGTAGGGGCAATTTTTCTATCTCGTTTCCCGTTGCATTTCCTCTGCATTATCCACGATTGCCCCCCCCCCTCTCTTTCCCCCCCCACCCAGAGTGCCTTCCTGCATCTACTTCTCCACTCTGCATCCGGAATGGTGGGTGCAGGCTGGAATCACCATGACTCTTTTAAGGCCGACGTATATGCCTGTCCAAAAAAATTGTTGTCACACCTGAAAAAAAAAAACGAAAAAAAAAACTGCTAATGGAGTCCAGCCGCCACCAGCGGGATTCGAACCCACGCGCTTTCCTCTGATGGAAGGCTTTTAGTTGCTGCGGACCTCGACGCCGGGCCGCGGGACAGGAGGGTGCGAGGCTACCCGGCCAGGCGCGGGCGGAGGAACAGAGAAAGTTATGTCAGAGAGCGCGCATAACAGGCCGAAGCAGCTCGTCGTTCAGACGGCCACTCTTTCGGCCCAGAATATACGTGGCAGTGTGATTTATTTCTTCTCTGCGAGGCCCTGGAAAGGGGGCCTGGTACGGAGCGCGCCCTCGGGCCACTGAGAGTCCCTCGGGATCCGTGACCCGGCGGCCCCGTGGCCCCGTGCCCGGGGATCAGGGAGTGTTGACAAATCCTGCTCACTGTCGATGTCGAGGCAGTAGTTGAGGTGGGGTGGCGCTGGAAAAGTTTTTACTTTGGAATCGTCTTTGTTACTGCCACTAAGATTCAGAAAATTGTGGTTCTTCGTTATTTTAATTTATTTTTAATTTATTCTGAAAAATCTGAAGGGTTGGAAACTGTTGAAATCGTTGAACTCCTTTAAATTCTCAGCAGTCTCCCAGGGGCTCGCTTTGCAGACAGCCCAGGAAGGCCGTTCTGGACCCGCGTTCGAGTCCCACCATCTTCCGTTCACCTCTCTCTGTCTCTCTCTCTCCTTCTCTCTATTTTGCGGCTCGATCGGGCAGCCCCCACTGGTGCAACGAATGGGGGCAATCCCGCGGTGAGACGGTCGTGCTAAAGACTGCTGTCTCCGTCTCTCTCCAGACTCCAGGCACAGCGCCGAGAGAGACAGAGAGAGAGAGCGTCGAGGCGCAGCACAGCGCCAGAAAGCGCACGCCACGCCACGCCGCCCCGCCGCGCCCCGCCGCGCCCCGCCGCGCCCCGCCGCGCCCCGCCGCTCTGGGCTGATGGCTTTGCCCTGGTTCCTGCCTGGCCGTTCCTGGTTCTGCTTTCGGGGTAAGTTTAGATTCCGCAGACCGGCGCGCGTCGTGGTCGGGCATGGCATGGCATGGCATGCCGGGCTGGGAACGCGGAGGGGAGACACGAGTAATCGTTTTTCAGTTCTCGGAACGTCGGACCGCGCAGTCTGCACAAGGCGGTGTGGCGTTCCCGACAAGGGATCCCGGCTCTCGAAAGCCTTCGAAGGCCTCGAAGGCCTCGGAAGCCGAGTCGCGCCCTCAGGGCACGCCGTCAAAGGACGCAGCCGCCGAGCCAAGCACGCCGCCAACGCCGGCCCTTTTACACCCTTTGCGTGTGTCCTCTTGAAAAGGCACCACCGGCAACGCAAGCTCGGTACAGGTCTGAGGAGCTTGGCGCTGTATCGCCCGCGCTTCGGCGTCAAAGTTTCCTCGTTAAAGAAGTACCGTTCACACTTTCCCTAATTTTCTTTTACATTTTTCTTTGTACTTGGACACGGAGCGGGGCAAGGCTTTTGTTGGTGCAACTTCTTTCGGTCTGTAGCGTCTGCCGGCGTCTGCCAGCGTCCGCCGGCCTGCCCGCATGAATCATGAATGAGGCCATCGAGGCGCTGTACTGTATCAACCTAAAGAGCGAGACAGTCGAGTCGACCGCAAATTTGCATGTTTCATTTCTGTTTTCCCCGTACTCTCGATTATTAATTTTTTTTTCGCAGTGTGGTTTTCCGCCCCTCCGGCTGAGCCCTTGGGACGCGACCAAGACGGCCAGCGAGATCCGGGCTTTTTGCTATTTGCCAACGGGGGCGGTAGAGAAAACAAAACACGTCAAAATGAATCATAAATCGAATCGGGCGCGTGTGAAAGTTGGTAGTGGAGGCGAGCGACTCGGAACATAAAGGGCAAGTCTAACGAGGGGCGTGAGTCCTGGGGGTGGGGGAGTCCCGGACATGTGATACGACCGACTTTGATACGCCATTTCCCGCCAAATCCGCCTTGATGGACCCGAGGCCGTAATTACGAACCAGTAAAACCGAGTGGAGCGCGTCGTGCGACTACATCAGCCACCAAGTCGGAAAAGGCCATCAGCTGCCAGCAGCGCGACACTTTCTTATTCCAACAACAACAACAACAACAACAACAACAAAGCCGGTTTCCTCCCAGTCCAATCTTATTTTTGTTGTTTGTTTAGCGGGGTGAATTAAAGGCCGCTGGTGCGACCCCACGACGTTTCGAGATCGGTGGTTCGAGTCCCGCCGCCCCCGGCCGGCCGCCGGCCCCGCGGGGCGTCGTCCGAGAGGCCGCCGCCAACTCGGCCCAAGGCCCAGCCTAAAGCAGCGAAGCCGCGCCCGAGGCAGCCAACTGAGTTGCCGCCAACTTGCCCGGGCGGGGGGGGGGGGGGACTCGTTTGCGTCCGGCCGAGTCCGGTAAGGACGACGGCAGGACTGCCACTCCACTCGAAGTCGCTGCCGCCAGTGCCGCCCCGGACACTGTCAGCCTGCGAACCGGCGGGTAGGCAACCCGCGCGCACCCGTGCGTCGCCTCCAGAGGATTGCCTACCTCGCAGGCGCCCGGCCGGCCCGAGAAGCTCGGTGGAAGGCGAGTGGCTACGCCGGGGCTACGCTGCCCGCGGCGCTCGAAGGCCCTCGGTGTTTGTTTTGGTTTTCGTTGGCAACACTGCTTGACGGCTTGACGGCTTGACGGACTCCCCTCGCGAGGCGCGCCCCCCTCCGCCCCCTCGCCCATCGCCGTCCCGGCCCGTCCCGGCTCGGGATAATGAAGCTCGGCCACTTGTTACATGACTCCCGGACGTCCTCACCTGCTCCTTCCACCGCGGGCGTGGCGAGGCGGGGTGGTCACGTGGGCAGCGTCTCGGCGGTCACGGCGTCGCCGGGGATCACGCCGCCGCGGCCGCGGGGGACGTCGGCGTGCTGCTCTCCGCCGCCCCGGGGGCGCCGGCCGGCCGCCGGAGGGCGAGGGGGGACGCGGGCACCGGAGCGCGGCGGCAGGCCGAGGGCCGCGGCCGCCGCGGCGTCATGGCGTGGTGCAGGACGACCTCGAGGACGACGACGACGACGACGTGCTAGGCGAGTGCCGCGCCGCTGGCAGCGCGAGGGGATGCTGGACACCGATCTAGCGCCTCGCGCCGCCGCCACACGACTGGGGCTGTGGGGCGGCCCGCCAGCCCCCTGCCACCCCCACCCCCTCCACCGCCCCCTCAGCGCCGCGCCCCGCCACCCCCACGCCACGCCACGCCACGCCACGCCACGCCACGCCACGCCGAGACCGTCGCGCAAGGTCGCCCTTCGCGGAGACGTGGTGTTTGCGCGGGTCCAGCGCGGTGCGCAGCGCTCCGTGTGGCGGCAGGGTGGGCAGGGTGGGCGGGGAGGGTGGGGTGCGACCGTCTTCCGGACCAAGGTGCGTGCTACTCGTGCCGTGCTGGGTGGCGGGGTGCCGCGCCACGGGGCCGAGGACGAGTTCTATTCACAGCGGCGGCGCTGCGCACCCAGCACAGCCGTGATGCGAACCAAATTCGCTGGCATTTTCCCGCCACGCCTCTGGCAGCTGCCTCTCTCAATTTCGGCGCCAGCGCTTTTTTGTTCTTGTTTCGTTTTCGAATGTTGTTTTCCCCCTGAGACCGCCTGGCTTTTGTGCGGCCTGCTGTGGGGCTATGGGGACGTCAACATGAAGAGGGTCTTGTTTACACCCGCATGGTAGGAGCCCCCCTCCCCTTTTCCCACCCGCACACCGCCGGGCTTCTTTCCCTGAATCCTCTGGGAAAGCTGCAGCAGAGGCTTTTAGCTTTTAGCGCTTCCCGAAGGTGTTCGGAGGAGCTTGCTCGCCCATCCGCGTGCTTTCGCCCTTTCGACTGCCATCCCCATGGAAGGGAACTACCAGCGTGGAGGGAAGGGAAAATCTCCATACAGTGGCCCGGCCCGCACTCAGTCACCCATTTTAAAAAATGTGCTTGAAAGTGGTATGGGGAATGCCGAATGACAAGACTATACAAGCTTTGCTCTTAATGTAGTTTTCTTTATTTAAAAAAAGAAAATGGAAATTCCACTTTGTGTACATCGGATAAACATTAAAACTCTTAGTATAGAGAGATAAACAATGTGTAAAAAAAAACAACACACAGTGAAACATAAAAATGAGTAATGGAAATAAGATACTGAAAACAGATGATATGAGTATGTCAGGGTTGTGGATGGGCCTATGAAAAAGTGATAACTACAATACAATTGAACATAAATATTTAAAAAATAATGATGCAGATATCTTGATTTTGGCAATCAAGTATCATTTTACGTTTGTAGCACAAATACTTTCAACACAATCAACTTGTAAATTCCAATGTGGTTTACTTATTCACTAAATCTCATGTTATGATGTACTCTTCATTTTCAGAAAATTGATACATCCATGAGTCTCAGACTTCAAAAAATAAAAACACAGATAAAAATAAGGGCTTTGAGACACCTCCATATAACAATTAGAGGAACAAAAAGTGATACCCAAAGTATTTCAAAGTGCAAAAATAATTTCATGAAGTCTTTGTACTACGCATCTTCAGCCACTTCTCTCACCTCAGAAAAGTTAGCTGACCTCATTGACTAGAAGATACAGATGCCACTAAATAACACAATCAAAGCAATCACAACACCATCCATCCTCTCACAACATTGTTCTCGTAATGAGACAAATATCACAGCGCATTAAAAGCAGTGCCTCGCACAGGGCAGTGCGGTACTCGGTACAATCTCTCTATAAACTGCAGCTCTCCCCCAGTTAGGCATCCACAGTCTTGACAGCCCTGAAAAAACAAAGCAAGGAAAGAGGCATTTTTTAATTGATCAAAAGGCAGGGACAAGAATTTGGTCAAAAAATTTCAGGTACAATGATTTTTTTTAGGGATTTTGTGTGTACTGACTCCTCAACTTACTGAATTTTGCTTTCCACCGCCGAGTTTTCGTTGGCGTCGATTCGGTGTTTCACGAAGAGCGACGGCATGTCCTCCAAGGAGACTCCCTTGGTCTCGGGCTGGATGAACCACAGCAGGATGACTCCGGTGAAAGCCACCACGGCGTAGAAGAAAAAGGCTCCTGCAAAACAAGGCTCGCGTTGTTTAAAAAAAAAGAATGAAAGTGAAACTGCTGTCGTGAGACAAGGAAGAAAGGGAGAGAGACTTTGGACCTGCAGCTGTGAGGGCGTCGATGAGAGACAGGAAGCTGATGGACACGACCAGGTTCAGCAGCCAGTTGGAGGAGGTGGCGATGCTGGTGCTCAAGTCGCGCGCCCACAGGCTGTGCACCTCGGCGTTCACGACCCACGGAATAGCGCCCATGCCTACAGCACCAATGTTCCGTTTTACAAATAAGGCAACAATAACATCAACAACAAGCTGGACAAGAAGGCAGTGCAGTGGCACGCACCAGGCGCGAAGCAGAAGAGGTAGAGCACGAGCGCGGCCACAGCGATCCAGGAGTAGGTGGACGGGCAGTAGCCCACGGCCCACTCCATGTCGGCGGTCAGCGGGGACATGCAGGCGCCGCCCAGGGCCAGGTTGGTGTCCTCGTCGCGCGGCCAGCACGACGTGCTGTTGCCGTTGACGCAGAAGCCACACATGGTGCGGGGGCTGGTGCAGGCGGAGCAGCCCCTGTGGAAAGGGCGCCAAAATGAAAGAGAGTTCGAACTGGAAACGGGTGGCGGCGCGCCGGAACACGCCTTACATGAACGCGGCGCAGGCGTCGCCAAGCGTGTTGACGTCGGTGACGGGGGGCGCCGTGTGGTCCATGAGCAGGAAGCCCAGCCCCAGGATGACGAGGGACACGCAGGCGCCGAACAGCGACCCCAGCGCCAGCGGCCGCCGGCCCAGGCGGTCCACGAACACCATGCCGATGAAGGTGCACACGCAGTTGACGCCCGCCACGCCGGCCGACAGCCAGATGGCCGTCGAGTCGTCGCCGATGCCGCTCATCTTCAGGATGCTGGCGCTGTAGTACATGACGGTGTTGATGCCGCCCAGCTGCTGGTAGGCCTGCAGCGCGCAGCTCAGGAAGAGCGCGCGGCGCGCGTGCTCAGTGCGGAGGATCTGCATCAGCACGTTCTGCTGGACCTGCAAGCAGAGCGTCGGCGTCTCAGTTCCACGGATCGTTGTGTCGCTGTCTCTCTCGCGCGCCTACGGGGCCGCGGGGCAGCGCGTGGAGGAACACTCACCTGCTGCTTCTGCTTCAGCTGCTCGTCACACGCCTCCTTGATGGCCTTCACCTCCTCGCTGACCTTGGCGTCCGGGCCGCGCAGCCGGCGCAGCACCGCCTCGGCGTCGTCCAGCCGGCCGGACGCCACCAGCCAGCGGGGGCTCTCGGGCAGGAAGAGGAAGCCCACCACCAGCACGACGGAGGGCAGCGCGCCCAGCCCCAGCATCCACCTGCACAAGCCAAGCCTGTCAGTGTCGGGGCGTTGGACCATGACGCGGAGCGCGCGGAGCGGGTCCTTTGACCGAGGCCGACAAACAACTTCCACACGGCGTCTGTCTATTTAATCAACACGGCCCTTGCCCTTACACTCGAATTTCAAGTTCGATTACAAAGGGACAGATGGCCTGCGCGGCACAAAGCCACTCCCCACACCCCTTGGACGCGACCCAGGCGACCTTGCCAATGCCCGCCAGTCTCTGTCTCTCTCACTCGCACCGACTCACCTCCAGCCCTGGTCGGCGCCCGAGAGCACGCCGCTGATGATGCCCGCCACGAACTGGCCGCCCGTCACCCCCACGGTGTACATGAGCACCAGCACGCCGCGGTACTTGGGGGACGAGCTCTCCGCGATGTACATCGGGGTGCTCATGCTGGCCAGACCTAAAAAAAAAAAAAAATTGTTTGGTAAAAAAAGCAGTATCTGCTACATAAATGTATCATCTGCTAAAGAAATGTATCATCTGCTTAACAAATGTATCATCTGCTAAATAAATTATCATCTGCTCAAAAATGTATCATCTGCTAAAAAAAAGGTTAAAATTTAGGTTGAAATTGAAACGAAGTAGGTGTGTTGCGTTTTCTACACGCGCGCTTCACGCGCCACTGAAAAACGGAAACTAAGCCGCACACCCAAAACAAGGTTATCTTCTCTTTTTTCACAAAGTGGGCGTACCACTATCGCGTGCGCTGCACACGCCCCTCTATCACGGCAACACGTAAACACGGCGTGATTCGCCGGGCCTGCCCGGGCCGCCCCTGCAGGGCGAGCACGCTGCCGGCCGCGCTGGCCGCTTGGCGGGAGCGCGCTAAAGATAGCCGCCATCGTGCCAATTGGAGGGTCGTCCAGTGGTCGAAGATGCATGTGTATCCAGACCTGGCCAATCAGAGGGCCCATTCCGGCGCCATAACTCACTTACCCACGCCGACGCCCACAATCAGCCTGCCCACCAGCAGCATCTCCTTGCCGGTCGCGAAACCCATGACCAGCGAGCCCACTGTGAACACCATGGCCGCCGCCAGGATGGTCTTCCTTCGCCCGTACCGGTCTAGGAAAAGAAAGTACCAACTTAAGCAAAAAAAAATAAAATAAAATTGATTTAAAAAAAATAAGAACTTAAGAAGTTTAAGTTACCGGTCCAGTAGCCGCCAATGAGCGAGAAGACCCAGGCCGACGCGATGGTGCCGGCCACGATGAGTTCATGCCAGAAGTCGGTCAGAACTATGGAGCTCCTGGTAGAACACATGAGAGTGCACTGGTGAGAAAGGCAACATTTAAAAAAAAAAATTAATCCCGCGTGTGTTGGCACACTGGAAGTAACAAGGTGGTGTGTACAGGACAGGCTTTGACAGGGTGACGTGATACCATTTGCCGATGCTTGCTACCTGAGGCCTCGGGCCTGAGGCCGGCGAGATAGGGCCCCAATCAACTCGGGGCAAACAACGCTCTCCATCGCGGTATGCAGCATCGAGTGTCGCGGTGCCTCGCTGCCCTGGCCGGCCAATAAACAGTGAGATTACTCGCTTGCAGTGCGGTGACGAGGCGGCACTTGCGCAATGGCGGCCGTTAGGGCTGAGCCTAAATGCCGCAGGCCGAAAACCGCCCTGTCTCCCTCGCACTCCTAGGCCGCCCCGCACGGCGGCGAGAGAGACAGGGCGCTGGGCGGGCGGGCCGCCGGGCGGCGGATTGATTCTCTGAGTGCCGACGGCACGCCCCGCGAGCGCGAGAGAGAGGCAGCGAAGCGCGCCAATTAGCCGGGGCTGATTAGGGCATCGCCGCCAGGACCGCCGGGACTCGAAGGGACGAGGAGTGCCGGGAAAAGTCCAGAACTTTTTGCCTATCGCCGACCCGGATCAAACAATCAGCGTCGGCGTCGGCACGGGCCGCGCTTTGGCTGTCAGAGAGGCGGACTGGCGCCTGGCGCTGTCACGGTGCGGCCCAGTGGCCGCTTCCGGCTTAACTGGAGGCTCCAGTGGCCACTCCAGCGGCCTAGGCAGGCCTCCAGGCCTGTCCCGTCGCATCCTCGCGCGCTCCACTGACGCCGGGCCCGGAGGCCTCCGTACAGTGGGCGAGAAGACCGGCGCCTACGGCCAAAACTCTAGACGCGTTTTGAGCTCCAGAGGCGCTGTGCAGGACTCGAACCGAACGCGTGACCCCACCAATGGATTCCTCGTTCGGAGAGCAATCCATTGGTGGGGTCACACTGTCGGTTCGAGTCCTTTACAGCGACTCTGGAGCTCAAAACGCGTCCGGGATTTTGACCACCTCCACCGGTCTTCTGGCCCACTGTGCGCAGGCCCCGGAGCGGCGGCAGCCGGCGCGTTGCGGCGCGTTCCCGAGTCCGCGTCTGTCTATCTATGCGCCTGCCCTGTACACAGCATCATTATTTCCCTCGTTTTTCCCTCGATGACGGAACGTGGGTGATTGTTACCTTCGTCCCAGAAATAGGCCGAGGTCGTTAGAAATAGTCGGGGAAATGTCAACAACTTTATCAACAAATAGCGCAATAAAAATACAGCGTTCCACCGGGTAAGTATTTACACATTGATAAGGGTGGATTCGGGTGGATTTGAAGTCGCGACGCCGACGGCTCAGCATCGGCTCGGAAAAGAGGCCGCGAAACAAAACAACAAGCTTGCGAAAGTTTAAATTTTATTGAGCTGCCGATCACCTGTCCGCAGACGGGGGCTATTCAGGAGCAGGTTCTGGGGTGCTGGGCGACGCGATAAGATAGTTCTAGAAGAGGAAGAGAGGAGGCAGAGATTGGAGGAAGGGGCACCCTTTGTTCTTTGTTTACGTTGCGTGTGGCGGGGAGGGGCAGGGCGATGCGGGGTGGGGTGCGGCACGCGACACATTCGGGGCTAAAAGCCGCGGAAGCCGAGACAAGGACTCACTTGATGACGAGCATGGCGCCAGACACGACGCCAGTGTCGTAGCCGAAGAGGATGCCGGAGACGGCGCTGAGCGTCACCAGCACGATGCCCAGCGGCGTCATCCTGGAGTCGTCCGCCGCGGCCGCGCCGCCCTTGCTGTCCACCACCAGGGCCCCCGTCATGTCGTCGCCGAGGTGTCGTCGTCGTCGGGGTGCCTCCAACTAACTGGGGCCACTTGCGGCCAGAGACTGTGCCTGCGGAGACCGGGCCCGACACTGATAACCAGCCGGCCGGCCGGGCAGGCCAAACACGTCCTCCGTCCCGCTCGCACGCGCGCGAACGCCGCCACCAGGCCGCCACGCCGCCCGGCGAACCCCCCGCCTGTCCGTCTCTCTCGCACTGCCACGCGGGGCGCCTCGGACGCGGCCCCCTCTCCACCTGTCGTCCACGGTCAGGGAAGTCCACTCCACCGGTGTTGACGAGAACTTAATCCCACTCCACCACCGGGCAGCGGGCGCGGCTAGGCACGTCACAGGGTGGCGCTAGGCCCCCGTTGTTCCACGCGCCACGCCGAGCCAAGCAGGGTTGCCAACAGGCCGCCAACACGCCGCCAAGGCCCCGAAGGCCCCTGGACACGGACACACGTCGCTTTGGCCGCATATTGGACATGCCGCGGACAGCGGCGGAATTTGTCAAAGAGGCTGTCACCGAACACTGCAACGTCAAGAAAAATACAATATAGCTTCCGACCCGAGCGTTCCCAGGAAGGGGAAGTGCCAGTGCTGGCGCGATGCTCGTGCAATGGCTTTACCACGTGTTTGCGGCCTCATTCATAATTTCGCCTGCCTCACACTCTCACACTCCCAATGACTCATGTTCGAAAAGTCGACTTCCAAAGACGAGACCTATCAATAAATTTCTCGGAAAGGGTGGGGGGTCGTTCGTGGAAACGATGGAAAACCACGTAGCCAATTGTAAACACTTGAAGTCCCTAGATTAACGCGGGATTTCGCTTCTTGTTATTGCAAGGCGTTTAGATAACACACGCCCCACTGAGAAAACAGGCCACATATGAAAGTGGCAAATAAAGCATTGTAAAATGACTTGTTGAGGACGCATTTCCCGCCCACGAAACCTTTCGAAGCTCGAGAGAACACATGTGAAGATAGTGGACAAACTTGCACGCTATTGAGAAGGGAAACGTGAGTCTCGCTGAGTGTGGCTCGCAAGTACTGTACCGAAGGCACTCAGAACAACAGAAGCACGCGGCGTGGGGCGAGGATAATCGCAAAGGGCAGCTGTCACGACTTGGTAGGCTATTCGTGAAAAGGTGCTCTCTCGCGGTGAGTGGACAGGGGGGGAAAAATCGATGACCACATTGGCGAATTGATTAATGATTAATTGATTGATAACCTGCTAAGGGAATGTCCCCAGGGACTCGCAGGGTAAGGACAAGACAAATAGAACGCGCAACGCGTGTCCTTGGCAAAGCAGCTAACGGCTTCGGCGCCGGCCCTGCCATGCCATGCCCCGCCGGACCACAGGAGGTGTCAAGACAGACTACTTTGTCGTGGGCATGTCACCTCCCGAATCTGGACCTTCGCGTGAAGCGACTGAGGTCCACTACACCCGTAAGGGGTCGAGTGATAATTAAGACATGCGCGAACGTGGGGGGTGAATCTTAACGTACGCGTCGTAATGGGATGACCGAGTAAACACAAACAGGATCACACAGACAAAATCAAAATCGAAAATCAACACTCACTCTCTTCAGCAGAGCTCTGAGAAATTTACCAGTGCTATTGTCAGTGAAAAAAATTAAGTCAACGAATTTGGGCAGAATATTTTATTAATTTTATAGAAATCTTGAGGTCCTCCTAAGAAAGGTTCTGATCGAAAATTTTTGAAGAAAGAATTTTTAAGAGTACTTCTACATTCTTATGGGCAGAAAAGTTGAGATCTAGGGAAAAATTTACAAAGCATTGAGAGGAGCAAAAGGGTATCATATTGGAAAATTGTTGTAGTACCTGTCTCTGGTGGGAGTCAGGAGCTCTGCTCTTATTACCCCCTCCATTCTGACAGGTCTGGAGTCTGAGAGGGCTTGTGGTTACAAATGATGTTGTAACTGGGTGCCAAACACTTCCACCTGGACACACATAATTTTTCCTCATTCACTGTTTGACAGGTACTGACACTTGTACTACAGCAGAAAAGTAAGACAAAATGAGTTCCAAAAGAGATGAATGAATCTCTTTACCTTGTAAATGGCGCAAAATTCTTGAAATCCATCTTTAATAGTAAACCGCAAATGATGAGCAGTAGTTGAATCAAGATTCACCTTTGAAACTTGGTGATGAAGATCTGTTAACTGCATATCTGTTTTGAAAAGAGAGGACATGTATTCTTTTTAGGTTGAACAAAACTAGTAGCAATCAGAGCAAAATTTTGTTTTATTTTGTAAAAAATGTGGCTTACCAAGCGTTTTTAATTCAACAAAACCTGTAGACAAATTTCCTGAACATGCTTCTATCAGCATGTTCTTTACTGTGAACCAAAGTGAAAGAAACAAATTAATTGCTGATCCTACAGAAAAATTTAAGGCACAAGGTAGCTATGCAAAAAATGTCGACCAGAAGCTTACCACAATAACTCCTTACAGTGATGGTACTCAGGTTGATAGGTTTTGGGAATGATATTATAAAAGAATGTGGATAGAGGCCTGTGGTTGTCCAAAATGTGCTCCTTGACCTGAAATAAGTCAAACAGTCCGACATAATCCGTGTTCGTTAATTTCCTTATGAGTGCGTAAGAGTATGCATTATGGAGGCATGCCTCTCTCACCCATCAATTATGTTCTGGCTTGAAGCTATGTCTTCATGTCCGCATGAAGAAAATGAAATGCGGCAACCATGCGATGCCAGTGCTAAGTCTTGCATGTCTGTTTCGTTCAACATTGTACACCATGAAGCATGCTGGCTTCAGTGCTGCAAACGCAAACTGGCCACAGTAAGTTTATTATTGTTTGGCCAACAATGAATCTATTGGAAAACAACAGCCTTCCCCAACAATAACACAATAGTTATATGCATACCTCGGCAGCCACAAAACGAAAATGTGACAGTTTAAATGAAAGTCTCAAATAATAAAGTGTAATGATTTAATATCAATGTGCGAGGGAAACAAGTGGTCATGACTGAAAAAGCGGCTTGTGCATTTGCTTATTTGTTTTTTGACAGCAGCATTCCAGTCCACAATAGTAGCAGAAGACACGGCAAACTGCAAACATCGAACAATTGACTGACGATAGTCTATTCGCAGTTCGAGCTCGTACTGCGTATAGTGGGGGTGAGGAGCCGAAAGGAAAACAAACAAACATTCCATTCCCTGCTTTGGCAGTTGCTTGCTGTCAAAGAATTTATTGACACCCTTTCAGAGAATCGCGAAAACCGAATCCAATTCAAGATGAGTGAGCAACTCAAATTCATTGTGGAGAGGTTGAATGAGAGCCCGTTCAACAAGAACTTTAATCTAATATCATTTGACTCCTCTAGCTCCGAGCAACTTCTGCAAGTGAGTTTTATTTCTGATGTACTGGCACCTGTTATTTCTGTCTACCCTCTGAGTGTAATACTGTTGTCTGATTCCCCCCTTCCTAAGGTATTGAGCGATGTTTTGGCTGAGATGGATCCTGCTCATAACGTTGACATCCGTACAGAAGAGCCCGAGGCAACTACTATGCGTTTGATTAATGCTCTACGGATACTGAAATATAAGACACCACCAGATGTATCATTGTAAGTTCTCTTTTGAAATTGTCTAGGTGCGCCTTTTTAACTACCAATAAAATACTGTTTTCCAGGAAAGCCTTTGGTCAAGGAATTGTTCAGGGAGACAAACAAATATTGCACCCAGTTTTAGAGTGGTTGCTTCGTAATCTAGAAGATTTAAGAAAACGTGCATACCTTGCAAAGTTTCTGGTGAAATTGGAAGTGCCTCCTGAGATTCTTGGAGATGCAGATATTGCAGCAATGTATGAACAGGTAATGCTTAATAATATATTTGCTTCAGTAAGTTATTTGTTCATTTTACATAACTATCAATTGATTTGTATGTTTCAGTATGAGAACCTCATTGAGGAATTCAAGCTCATCCACAAGGAAACTGAGACAGTGAAGAACAGCGGTTATTCTGTTGGAGAGCTCAAGAGTGACATGGAAGCCATGGAAAAAGAACGAGACATTGTGTTGAACCGTATCCAGCAAGTTCAGAGAAAGGTATTTTTTGTGCAGCTGTAATGGTACATGATACATGATAAACACTTTCAAAGTCATTTCATCAACATATGTTATCTTTCAGGTTGAAGGTGTTCCCTCCTATGAGGCCATGCTATCAGCTGCTCATGACTTGAGGGTCCAGCGTGAACTTGAAAAGGAACTCATCAATCAACGGCAAGATGAAGAGACCACTCTTTCTCATCGCGATCAAAGGCTACAACGCTTACAGCAGCAACTGAAAGACTTGCGTCATGCTAGTGTTGGTGCCTCACCCCAGGGTGAGTTTCAGTGCTGAGTATTAATTACAAATAGGATTAAATTCTCTTTAGTTTATGAGAAACTTATTTTAATTTTAAATTCTGTAGGTCTGTTGCAAAGACTAGAAGAGGAGACAAGTGTCAATTCTTATTTAGCTAAACAAAAGCTCCCAAGAGAGATTGAAGCAAGGGAACAGGATGTTGCCATCATGAGTGCTGTTCTGGCAGAACCTGTTATGGGCCACAGCGAATTAGATGCTCTAAACGCCAAGGTACTGTGTACATATCTTTTAACTTCTTTCTGCCGATTTTCTCTTTTCTTTTCTCAACATTATTTGTTTTGTTTTTTTAGCTTCAAGCTGTCAATGCAGAGATTAGTCAGTTAGTGCAGCGACATTTAGCAACAAAAAATCCCGCTGAAGATAAACTAGCCCCATTTCGGCAACAGGCTGCAATAATTGCTCGCAAAAAGGAGTCTACAGCTGAACAGCTTGCTGAAATGCGTGCTCGAGTAGCATCTCTTGATGAAGAGCTTCAGGTATTGCTTACCATCAGAAAATGACTGAAATTAAATTATGGTACAGTATGATTTTAGTTTTGAACAATTTATTTTTCAATTCTTTTCAGGAAAAGCAAAGTCAACTGCAGTCTGTAGCTGGTGATGCTGTCTTAAGGGGAGAAGAATTCAAACGATATGTGAATAAACTGCGTGGTAGAAGTTCCTTGTATAAAAGACACAGAAGTCAACTCTCTGCTTTGAAGGCAGAATCAGGTGTTTTGTCTTGGACAACTCAAATATTGACATCTCGTACTGAGAAAACATTGTCTGGAATGGTTAAGCATTTTTATTTTATTTTTTTCCTTTTTTGCCATTTTTTTTGGAAGGTTGTGTTTATTTACTTCTATTTGAATGACCTAGGCTACAGTTGCTGCTCAGCATGGAATGTCTGGAATTTTGGAAACAGAGTCGCGCTTGGATGAAATGGCTCTTCAAAAAAGTGAGCTGGACATGGCTAAGGGGCAGAGTCTAGAGCAGATTTCTGGGTTGGTTCTTCAACTCAGGGAACAGATTGCAAGTCGTAAAGCTCAACTGGCTCCAGTAATTAAAGGTATTTTTGTTACAATTTATTTTCAGGAATGACTTATGTCCATACATGTATATACAGGGTATTTTCATTTTCTCATTTCTGCTTGCTAGAGCTGAGACCTTTGCGTGAAAAGTGTCAGGAACTTACTGCTGAGTACAATCAAACCAAGCAGAGACATGACTCAACTGCTGCTGGACTAGACAGCAGCTTGGCTAAACTTGAACAGGTATACAGCATTGTTTTGGTGTCGATTGTACCTTGTGAACTGTCTGTTATCTTTATCATAGTAACATTTTTTTAATGCTCCAGGAAACCAATGCCTTGCAAGAAGAACGTGATGATTGGGAATCAGAATGTCACTTACTTGAGGCTAAAAGTGTGATTATGGAAACAGAGCTTGAGCGTGTTGCAGAAGAAATCCGGCTTTATCGAGGTGGAGATGGTGTTGAAAAAGGAAAGAAAACGCTTCGGTAAATATCTGTATCTGGCATCGCTCTGACCATCCTAGACTCTTTCATGCCCATTTATATTCTATTTGTTGCGCAGTGAGCAGCTTGGTGCTGCCATATCTGAACGGGAGAAGCAGAGCCGGGTATTAAAGGAAGAGCAGAAGACCGTTCAAGAAGTTCAAGTGAACAACCAGCTTCAAAAACAACTTTGGAGCCAAATTCAAGAGTAAGTTCACTTGGCACAAATCAGCTAGTAGAGCTCATGCTCATCACATTTATTTGAAGCCACTTACTTCTGTCATGAGTCTCACTTCAGTCCTGCCTTTTTTCCTTTCCATCCTCAGGTTGATGGAGGCAAAACTTCAATGCTACAGCAGAGCCAAGGAGATGTCTGGGACTGTCACCATAGAGAGAGGATCTGAAACGCTTGTTCTGCAGTAGTCTGTCATCGTGTCTCATCAACTTAACCACGTTACTATCACCTCTAGTCACTGTTTAGTTTTATTTAATTAGTATTTAGTGGAACTTCCGTCCAATTTGTTATTTATTTATTGATGCGCACCAAAGTATTCTCAGCAACCACAAACCAAAGATGTTTTAGCAAGTACTTTATTTTATTTATGCAAAATGAAGAAAATAAAAAATTTATGAAAATAAAAATTTAAAATGTGTAAAGATTTTTTTGTGTCAAGTCGTCGCGGTGCGCGTCTCTCGACTGCGGCTTGGCAGGCGCGCTGGCCTGAGCGGCTGGCGCCGGTCCTCGGGCTCCCCGGCGGCCCGCGCGCTCCGGATGCGCACCGACGCGTGGGGCGGGAAGCTGATGGCGAGCCGCAGGGCCTTGTAGGTGATGACGACCTGGTCCAGGGGCATGCTGCCCAGGCCGGCGCTGCGTCCGGGGAGGCCTGCCAGTGCGGAGGCGGCTGAGGCGGGGGCGCTGCGCGCGTGGCGGGGCTTGGTGGCGGGCAGCACCTCGACGGCCGTCGCCGAGGGCGCGGCCCGGTCGCCGCCGTCGGCGGGGTTGGCCGCCGACGACGCCCTGTCCCTCCGGCGGGCGGTGCGGGGGTGGCAGGCCGAGCAGCGCAGGTTGCGCCCCTCCGAGTCCTGGGACCCCTCCTGCGAGTCCTGCTCCACGGCCTGCACCGCCTCCAGCTCGGGCGTCGGCCTGGCGGTGCGAGGGCGACGCGACGGCGAGGGCGAGCGCGGGGGCGGCGGGAACGCCGACGCGGGGTCCAGGTAGATGCCGACCCTACGAAGGAAGCTGCACACTCGCGGTTAGGCACCCGACCCGCCACACCCACTCCACAGCGGTGCGAAGGCTCGGACTCACGTGGGCGGGGGCTGCCGCCAGCCGTTGTCCACCCTGGAGGTCCGCATGATGTGCGCCAGCCGCAGCACGAGCGCGCAGTTGTCCTTGCCGATCTGCGCGCACCGCTCCGACTCGCTCTGCACCTGCTTCAGCTTGCACGACACGTGGCCGCGCTCCGCGGGGGGGCCCACGTCGATGACCGGCAGCGCCGACGCCACCTGGCGGCACCCAGAACGACCCTTTGGATGGCGGACAGGTGCAGAGTGTGTGCTTACGTCCAATACTCGGTCGGGTTGCCTATCCTCAGGGGATTTCTTTTTTCGGGAGGGGGAGGGGGAATGCCTCCACACTCCCTCCGAGGCCCCACCGCCATACCTTGAGCGGCCCTACCAACCCCTGTTTGATCAATGCCGCCGGCCGGGCTGGCAGGGCTGCTCCCAGAAAACACGCACACCCCGAATGACCGAAGGGTTACGAAAATGACAGCTGTGATGGCTAAACACTCCCTGAATGATGGAATGATGGCCCCACTTGGAGTGGCGGCCGTTTTGCCCTCCATGACTGCTGTCTCCCACCGCGGCCTGGCGTCGGCGTCGCCCTGCGGCCGGCCGCTTTCGACAACCACGTACAGTGTACTACCTTTTTCCGGTGGTGGTGGAAGCGGCGCTGCTGCCAGGGCCGCACCAGGAGGTTCTCCCGGCGCGTCAGCATGGCCTCGCACTCGTCGCCCTACTGCCTGCCGGGCCGCCGGGCCGCCTCGCCCTGCCCCGGCGCCACGCCGGTCGCCTACACCGCAAGGGGTGGCGCGACGGCCCGGCGCAGCGCGGTGCAGCCAAGTTGCTGCAGTTACAACTCGGCGCGAAGTGGAGGGCGTGCGGGTCGTGCCTGATGATCCTTCGCCGCTATTTCCGGCCGGCCGCACGCTTGATCACTATTGACTCGCCGTTGAATCATGGAAGGGGTCGAGGCATCATCGGCGACGTGCCGTCCGAGTGCCTCTCGTTTGATATGCTGTAATGTTCGGTTCGCGAGGCGACGCGAGGAGGCGGCCTTCCCCGGAAAGGGCTCAGCAGCGGACCGCTGTCTCTCTCCCTCTTACATGGAACACTCGGCGCGTGGGAGAGAGACAGAGCGATGCGTGCGGACACGCTCTGCAGGGTGGGCCCGGGGGGCAGCCCGGGTCCCTCCTTCGCCGCGGCGAGTGCGTCCACCGCAAGTGTCCGAGATGGTGGCGTCTGGCCTGTACGTTGACACCCACCTCACGTGACATAGCAGCTACCCGAGGCAGTGTTACCACACGAGTAGGCAAATTTTCCCACGATGCTCGCCGTTTGATAGGGTTGCCAAACCTCCGCCGGCTTAGGGCTTTGCCTATTGAGGTGGCTTAGGTCGGCCACCCTTCCACACTGATCGTTGGAACTTCCACCTACTCGTGTGGCGACGCTGGTCCAAGCCGAGTGCGATTCCAGGCCGCTTCCTCGTTTCCAGAGGCGATGGCTTCCGGAGGAAGAACAGGAGCGCGCCGCTGCCGGAGTCGGACGCGGCACCGCAAGGGTCCGAAGGGGCTCCGGCCGCCCCCATCAACTTCTTCGCGCTCAACTACGTCCTGCTGGCGCTGTCCGGCATCTGGCCGCCCGACGACCTGGCGCCCCCCGCCCGCGTCACGTACATCGTGCTCAGCTCCATCGCGCACTTTTTCTTCTTCTACTCGTCCATCACGTGAGTGCACACAGCGGGCCAGGAGACCGGCGCAGGCGGCCGAAACTCGAGACGCGTTTTCAGCTCCAGAGTCTCCAACCAGGACTCGAACCCAGCGTGTGACCCCACCAATGGATTCCTCGTTCGGAGAGCAATCCATTGGTGGGGTCACACGTTCGGTTCGAGTACTATTTAGCGACCCTGCAGCTCAAAACGCGTCCTGGATTTCGACCGCCCCCACCGGTCTTCTGGCCCACTGCGGACAAACGACAGGGAGCGAAGCCAACGCTGCCCGTCTGCGTCAGGTATACTGGGGCCATGATGGGCATCGACAGCATCGACAAGGCCACGGGGGCGCTGTGCGACCTCTTCGTCATCTACCTATCCATCTACAAGATCTTCGTGCTGCTCAAGAACAAGCAGCTGATCCGAAGCCTCGTCGAGGCCCTCAAGTTCGACATGGACGTGCAGTACGCCCCGCTGAGGCGCGCGTGCCGCGAGCACGAGGAGCAGACCCACAAGCAGGCCACCAAGGTGAGCTGTGAGCCAGCTAGCGCCTGCGAAGTGACGATAGGCAACCGGCCGGCTGCGACGCACGGCTGCGCGGCGCATTGCCTACCGTCCCGGCGCTCCGAGCGCCCTGACCTTTTCAATGCTCCGTGCTTCGCGTTTCCCAGTTGACGTTCATGTACTACATGGTGCTGCTGTCCGTGGACGCCACCTACATCTTCATGTTCCTGCGCGCCGAGTGGAACGACGTGGTGGGCATCCCGCAGTGGGACCCGCTGTCGCTGCGCCGCACCAACAACTTGACCTTCTTCTTCTACGCGTGCGTGCCCATCTCGGCCGCGCTCATGTCGGGCATCCACACCACCGTCTTCGACACCATGATCCTGTCCTTCAGCATGGGCCTCGGCGCCAAGATCGACAACCTGGCGCGCCTGCTGCGCACCCTGGAGGAGGAGCCGAAGCATGCCGCGCACGGCGTGCACGGCGACGGCCTCGTGGAGGTGCACCGCGAGCGGCTGCAGCGCCTGCACGACGCCGTGCGCCTGCACCAGCGCATCATCAGGTGTGGTGCCTACACGGCGGCGAAGGGAAGTCGCCTCGCGAGGCGTGGAGGATGATTTTTCTTCTGTTTTTACAGATTCGTCGATGAGTTGGAGAGCGCGCTGTCCTCCATGTCCCTGGCCCAGCTGCTGGAGTCCCTGGCTGCCGTCTGCCTGCAGGCCTACCGGCTCACCGCTGCCCCGGTGCGCTGTGCTGCAGTGTACTCCCTCCTGGAAAATCACCACCCCGATAATGAAACTTGAGCGCCTCGTTTGTTTTCCTTGTCTCCTTCCCAGCCTTCGCCTGCGGAGGCGGTGCCACTGATCAACTTCTGCTCTGGCTTCTTCTCCAGCTGTGGATCTTGTGCTGGAGTGGAGAAAATATTGCGACAAGGGTACTTTGTATTTTTAGTCAATATTTCTGAGTTTTAATGGACCCGCTCCAGACTCATGTTAGTGATTTTTTTAAAAAATCCATTTTACAGAGCAAGAACTTGGCCACAATAGCTGGCCGGTGCCACTGGTTGGGAGCGGGCAGGGACTTCCAGAACGACATGCGGATGATGATGCTCAGGACACAGCGGCCCTTGTGCCTCACTGGCATGAAGATGGTCAAGCTCAACTACCCTGTGTACCTAGACGTACGAAAATGAATGATTTGAGGCACCACTGGGTAGACCTTGAGTGTCAGGGTTTTAAATGCTTTTTCTAACAGCGATGCCTGTTTATTTCAGATTGTGAAGAATTCATACTCCTTGTACACCTGCATGTTACGCATGAAGTCTGACGAGACCAAGAAAAAGAAGCGTCAGTAAGCAGTTTGAGGCGCATGTTCTTTTGGGAACACGCATTTATTGGCTATTTTAACAACTGTGAACCAGGTAACAACAAAAACAAAAATAAATACATCAACAAATGTTCAACAACATATAAATATAATACACACCATTTTCTTCAGAAATATAACAAAATTGTCTGTTTGAATAAGATTTTGACGATGACAATATCACCTCCAAAAAAAAAGACCAGGGAGTTCCTGAAGAATGGAGCCAACAAATTTCACGTAGCAGAAATCTCCTGGCGATCAGTTAGTTTGAACTGTGGCGCGGCAACGGTGGTTGGGAATATGGCCACTGAGGGCACTGGACGGCACCGTCGCTTCACGAGGATATACTCCACATCCTGGCACCTGTCGCTCCGTAGGCACGGGGTATCGCCGTGCGCTGCTCCTTCCTGAGGGTTGCTGCAGTCATCACCTGCAATCACGCCCGCCAGTTATTTTTATCCACACCATGTTTGTGCATAAACACACAAAAATTGCAGGGGAGAAAAAAAGAACGCACTGACCTCTTTTCAAGACTGCTTTGCATCTCCTTTTGTGCGAACTGTTAGCTCAATGTTCAAATTGTCTCCTTTTACAACTCATTTCTTGAATGAAGACACTGTAAGTTGGAAATAAAAAATAAGCATGTATTTGCGTAGAATACGTAATGTTTTCAGCAATTTATACTCGCCTCACACTTGCTGCATCTTAAGGCCAGCCCCAACAATGCCTGAATCAAGTGAAATCATGAATGGTATTGATAATTTTTCTACTGCTGTCATTTTCTATCGTCATTCCTTCTTTAAAATGTTTTCTATAATTTTGTAAACTTTTGATGGAGTGTGAGCTACTTTCTCTAATAGTGAACAAATTAGTGTTGACTGTGATTGCCCTTCATTAGCGACACAGATTTTCTTTCATCTTCTTTGAAATTTTTATCCTTAATACAATCAGCACTACCAGCTTGGAACATCTTCTTTCTGCCTCCTCCAAGTCAAATTGCACTAAATTTTCAAGTTCTGAAATCAGCATTTCACTCGGATTTTCTCCAGCTTCTAAAAAATGAATCATCTACCAAAGAAAGGGAAATAAAAATGGAGTTAGCATTTTTTGGGGAGAAGGTGAAACAGAGATAATTGTCTTTTACCTGTTTGTCAATATCCGACCCCACTCTGATCGAGTTGAGTCCTGGGTGAACCAAAGAGCCAGAGCACAACGAGTGCCTCTTTTCACTCCTTGAACACCATGTAAGTTTTCATGTCCTGCTGAAAACCCCACTAGCCGACCACAATTGGGTTTGATGGAGCTCTATAACATTAATCACAATCAAAAATTTCATTGAATGAATCAGAGTCAGTGAACGTCAAATAATAAAATAAAAAAATATTTAACTAACTTGGATTAATTTTCCTAACGGATCAGCGCTGAATATGAATTCCCCACCATCAAAGTCATCATTTAAGTACAGTAGAGCGCTGTAATTCAATCACAATGAATAAGTTTCTCCACACTGACATGACATCATTTTATTGAAACTATCTAAGGTTCACCTATAATCCCTCCAGTAATATGCAGGATACGTTTTTACACATCTTCCTTCTTTCGGAAACCAACAATTGTCAGCATGAATCTTGTGACTTAATGCTGAACCATTCACTGATTTCCCTGGAAAAGGTTTCATTCAGTTGGTACATTGTAATTAAAAACTGTAATTCATTGTGGAGTGTACTTTGCCACATACCAGGCACAGAAGAGCGACAAACAAGATGAGTGAAACTAAAATGCAGATCGCTGTTAGAGATGTTGAAGTAGGTAGCAATTGAATTTTTACCTCTTTCACTCAGGCTCAGAAAAAGTTTTAGAGTTGAAAGTTCGATCAAGCCAAAGTTTACCATCTAGAAGAGAATTTAATTTAATTACCAGTTGCCACTAAAATCTGGAAATATTCCAAAGGAATCTGTGTATACCAAAGCAGCCTGGCCTAATGTAATTCCTTCAAATATTTCAAGTGGTGAATGAGGGGTTTTGTTACCATCATATCCATCGCCTCTCACGCCATTCACCTGTGAACAATTCAGTACAATAAATCAGTTTTGGACTCTCAATTTTTGCCTGTCCCTACACATACCACAATACTTACTTTTGCAAACTGCACAAGCTGCTTGCATTCTAATTCATTGGCAAGACCATCAACTACAAAACGCTTCTTGCCTCCTAAGTCACTTTCTCTTTGAAAATTAAAGAGGGGTCTTCTGGACGACTTCTTTAATCTTTCCAGCTCTTGGGATTTTACCTGGCTCAATAAGTATTCATCCAAGTTTGATGTCATGTCACTGGCTGCAGGGTAGATGTTTGGTTTAGTGTTATTACCCTTGACTTCCTGAAGTAAATTCTGTTGGGCTTTATATTCCGAGATATTTTCTAAAGAAATGTTTTGTTCACTAAATGCTGAATGGAGTGGATCTGTTTGTTTCCGTGGGGGCTTTTTCCCTATCTCGCGAATCTGCAGGCCAGAAAAAGTTATTCACACACAAGATCTGTATTAAAATAAATGAAATAATATGTACTTTTTAAAATAAATGTGTATGAAAAAAACTACCAGCAAAAGCAATACTATTTTTCCCAAACACTTGTTACACTACTCCCAAAACAAGCACAACAATATTGTTTTACCTCATTGACATTGAACATTAAAAATGTTCTCTAAGTTGTTAGTTATCCGCTGGCCAATTTCAATGAAAAACCACGAAGTAAAAGGATAGTAAAGACCCAAGAGACCAAAAGAATAGTGAAATAGAAAGGATAAATCCACAACAAGTTGAAATAGAAAAATGTTAAATTTATTAATAAGTCCAGTTAACACAGATAAGTACAAATAGAAATGGCATCACAGAAATATCAGTATTACAACATGGCAATCAGTCAGTGGCATCACACTCTCTGATCGAATGATTTTAACAATTGAGTACTGTAAAAATCGTACACTCATATTCCCATTCCATAGGTAAATCTGAAATATTGATTACCCTGAAATAAAAACACAAGTATGAAGCTAAGGGAAAATTTTGTACAATATTTCAATCAAATGGGTAATCTATTTTCAAGAGTAGCAAGCGGCAAAGAGGAATGTCAATGCTCATGCAGATGAAACCACCACAGAAAACAAAAAACAGAAATTATATAACCAGGCAGCATGCAACTTTGTTACATAAACCTTGTGAGGCTGTCTATCCCTCAAAATTTTGAATAGCTAGGAAGTACAATGAGATTCTCAGTACAAGCATGCAACATCACTTTACCTCATTTGATGGAGGTATATCTTTCTCTTCCAAGTCCGGAAATATAAATTCATCTGCTACAAATTTCAACAACGCATCCTCATAAGTCTGTCTGTGGATGTAATCAACAGCCTCCTGCAATAGTGTTAAATGCGAATTAGAGGCTAGTTCCAAAGATAAACAAAGGCGCAAACAATTTTTGCTATGAACTTACAGTGCGAGGCTGCAACATACTGGTTTTAAATTTTGGCAATGCTTTGTAGTACGCAATGTTTTCTAACATCATTTCATCTGCTGGGAGGAACATGAGATATGTAGCAGCAGCTTCACAAGCGTCCTTTAAGCGCCCAACTGCAACACAGGTAAAAGTGCAGTTCAACCATAACATCCAAACAGATGAACAAAATTAAAAATATTTGAGTTGCTTGCAATGAGATGATGACATACGTTTGAAGTAAGAAAACTGAAGGTAATTGTAGTGTAGCGGCAGAAAGTCATCGTATCTTTCTCCATTCATTTGACTTAACTTGGAGTGGCACTTAGTTTTGCACTTCAGGCAATAAACATAGTGGTCTGGAAGTACATAATTCAGCACAACAGGGAAAAATTAAAAATCAAAGAAGCAGAAGGACGAGTAGCTGGAAGCACCTACTTGTGATTGATGGGGTAAAATCTGGTAACCACCCTTGATCAAAAGGCCCCTCACAATCAGCTCGACATCGATCAACGGCATTCAAAAATTCATGTAGTGATTCCTCCAGATTTGATACTGCAGATTCATAATTTTCTGAGAAGTAAGCATCTGTACCCGCAAGATATAGTGGAACGTATGGCTGGAACATAAAAAATTTGCTGATCAAGTATATTTGTATAGTAGTGAACAAACATTATTCAGCTGAGTTGAAGTCCTGTGCCTACCTCTGATTCGTAATTTTCAAGCTTATTTGCATCCACCTCTGGCATTGACAGATAGTATTGAAGGTTCTGCCTCATTATGTCATTGCTCGGGTCGTGAGAAATAATAGTGAACACAGCCGATGCAGCCTTTTGAAACTGCAATGACTGAAAACAAAGAAAATGGTTAGTTACACATCACTATACAATGGACAAAACACAGAGATCACCGAAAAATTTACGCAGTCGGTAGGACTCGAACCTACGCTCCCAGAGGGAAACTGATTTCTAGTCAGTCGCCTTAACCACTCGGCCACGACTGCGACCTGTGGAGAGAGCAGTAGCGCAAGTAGCGCACTCTACAGGCTCGCAGCGGCGGCACGAGCATGGTGGGGAGGAAAGGGGAGGGGGCGCTGTGACGTCACAGCGGCAACGTCGCGGCCGGTCAGCGGCGGGCGCGCGCAATTCAAACTGGCTCGGCACGGCAGCAGAGCGGAGGAGCGGTGACGGCCGGGGCCGGCTGGTGCTCGGCCCACGCAAAGTGCCAGTGCGACCAGCTGATAAAGGGCTGGGCTGGGCTCGGCTCGGACAATCTAATCTGGGGCTTCGCGCTTCGCTTGCGGCTGAGTGTTTCGTCGCTCTGTCTCTCTCGCACCCGCACGGGACGGCGCACGAGTGCAGCGAGTGCGAGGGAGACAGAGCGACTGAAGGGGCGCGCTTACGCAGTGCCGCAATCCTTTGCGGATTCGAGCCGTGCAGAGCAGGGATTTGATACGGCAGTTTTTGGCAGGGTGACTCGGCTCGTGACGTTTGTATACAGTGAGGGCGAACTGCGCCTGCCTGCTCCGCCTGCCCTGCCTGCCCTGCCAGGCCACGCGGATGCGTTCCCGACTCGCTTCGCCCAAACAAACGCAGTGAACGCCCCACCCCCCGCAAAGCAACACTGTTGCACGGCGCACAGCACGCAGCGGCCCACGCCCCGCGCGCCTCGAGTCACTTCTAGTCACTTCTAGCTTCCAGCTGACTGACTTCGATAGTCGTGCGGGCCTGAGCGATAGGCGCAGCTACTCGCTGTCGCGCGCGCCGGCTGCGCAGGCTGGGCGGCGCGGACGAGACGGCGGGCCCTTTATAGAGGCCAGCAAGCAATCAACACATCAACACATGGCCAGGGCCGAAGGCGCGTTGGGGATGACTACACTGTGTGGGATGACTGGGGTGTTGCCAAAATTATCGCGCTGACCTGCGACCTGATAGGCGCTCGGATCGGAAGCGAAACGCTGTGCGGAATCAGTAAGCAGGAAGGAGGCTTCTCTAGGAACGGCGCGGCCGAGCCGAGCGTGTCTGGTGGACGGGCCGAATGGGCGGCGTGAGGTGCGGTCAACAAACTGACGTCTCGTCGCTCTGTCTCTGTCGCACTCGTGCAGCGGCCCGAAGGGGTGCGAGAGAGACAGAGCGACGGCTATCACGGGGGGCGGGTGAGGAAAACGAGTACCTGGTAGTAGCAGAGCTGCAGGTACTCGTACGCCTTGAGGTCGCGGAACGCCTTCTGGTCCGAGGCGGCGATGGTGTCCGTGGTGACGCGGCCGTGGAAGGCGCGCCGCTTGCACTTCATGATGCACAGCGTGGTGCGCAGCAGCTCCTCGGCGTGCTGCAGGTGCTCGATGTCCTTGTCGAAGAGCGGCGGCTGCCGGCGCGCCTCCTGGCCGCACTTGAGCCGACAGTCGATGTTGGCGCGCAGGAAGTACTGCCACTCCAGGATGGCGTTCTCCAGCGCCGTGGCGCACGTCTTCCAGTCCTCGCTGAGGTACGCCTCCACGCCCACGCGGAACCACGCGGCCACCGACCGGTTGGACGCCGGCTCCCGCGGCTCCGAGGACACCGACGCCGGGGTGCTGAGCGCGGCCGGCGACGGCGTGGTGGCGGTGTCCGGTGCTGGAGAGGTGTCGGCGGCGTCCTGGGCGTCTTCAGCCGCGGCTGCCTGAGGGTTGTCGTCGGCGGCGTCCTGGTCCTGGGCGTCGGCGGCTTGCTGAGCCCCTATAGGGTTGTCGTCGGCGTCCTCCTCGCCGAGCGAGTCTACATCGTTGGCGTCGACGGCGTTATCGGCATCGTTGGCAGGGTCGACATCGTCCAGAGCGTCCACGGCGGTGGCGTCCTGGTGGCTGCCAACGTGCTCCTCAACGGCGGCGTCCTGGGCGTCGTCGACAGCGTGCTCCTCGGCGTCCACCGCCCGGGCCAACTGGAGCAGCACGACGACGCAGCACAGCAGGGCCAGGCCCTTGGCGCCCTTGACCAGGCCGATGCACAGCCTCATGGTGCGCGGAGAGCCATTCCGAGTGACGGACACGCGACACGCGCGCACGATCCGAAGCAATGGGCACGACTCGTCAAGTGAAGCGCAGCGCGTGCGTGCGGGGGCTGCCTGGGGCCCGGGACGCCGACGCCGACGGATGTTTGTGGTAACTGAAACCGAACTGGGAACGGGCTGACGAAGCGGAGGAGACGAACATAACCGAGCGGGAAGGGGGCCTGGGGCAGGGGGGCCGGCGAACCGAACGCAGCGGAGGGGAGGGGCAGCAGCCGGCAGAGGGCAAAATAAAAGAAACAAAACCGACTCGCGCCTGTAGACTGATTCCGAGAGTCGCTGTCTCTCTCGCACTTAAAGGCGTATGAGTGCGAGAGAGACAGAGTGTCGAAAACGACTCTCGGCTTCAGTCAGCGGCGCGTCGACGGCGTCGCATCGGGAAAGGAAAAGGGACATTGCTGAGCGCCCTCGTCTTGCGCTGCCGGGGCGGAGCGGGGCGGGGCGGGGCGTTCGAATTGGGGCGCGGCACGCATGTGTCCGCGCGGCCCTGCCCATGACCACCCGCTGCGCCACTGTCAGGTTGAGGCGCCGCTGATTCCTAGATAGCCGATTGTGAGATAGCGTGAGCCAGCTACCGTGCGACGGACTGCCCGTCAGTCTGGTCTTCGCGATGCAAGCACTGGCGGCCTTCGTCCTGGCTTCGGCCCTTCTGGGTGAGATGCACGTTCTTTGTCGTGCTATTGGCTATAGCGAAATGACGAGTAAATTATGGCAAGGCCATGGAAAGTAGTAGTCGGCTATCTGCGGACCGACTTCGAAGAGCGCTTTCGTCGCTCTGTCTCCTCCACACTCGCGCTGTGGCGATGAAGCAGTCTGCTCAACTCGACTTTCAACCCCGATTTTCCAGGTGCGATCGGCCCCGCCCTCGTCTGCGGCGCCGGGGTGCGGGAGACTGGTGAGTGAGGTGGCGGACCTGGGTCACTTCCGGTCCGGGTCACTTCCGGTCCGGGTCACTTCCGGTCCGGGTCACTTCCGGGTCACTGCCACGACCAGTCCCTTTCGAGTGACAGCGCTGTCTCGGTTCCAGGCCCTGGGCACCTCACTTCCATCGTCGAGATCATTGAATCATTTCCGTTAGGCATCGAACCCACTCACAGAGCATCGGGGGTGCTGATCACCCCCAAATACGTCCTCTCCACCAAGGAAGCCGCGGGGAAGCCTGGCATTACCAAGCGGCGCCATGTAAGTCGGATCCACGCGGGTGCTGTCGCTCTGTCCCTGTCGCACCCCCTCCGGACCTCTATGCGCCCCCTGGGTGCGGCAGAGACGGAGCTCCTGCGCCTCGTGACGGTCACGACGGCGCTCTGTCTACGCCGCAGGTGGTGGTGGGCCGCAGCGCTGGCGGCGAAGGCGTCGCGGTGGAAATCGACTACAAAGCCAGCCCGGAGCACCCCGACGGCCTCATCCTGCTCAAGCTCCAGGAGGACGTGAACCTGGACGCCGTGACCAAGGCGGCCAACCTGCCGCACGGGAACACCGACAACACGGGTACGTCGTTCGACCAAAGGTTTCGGCCAGGGGGTGTTCGCATCACGCGTCTGTCTTCGTCGCCTGTATGGACTCCGAATAAGTGCGAGAGAGACAGAGAACGTGACGCGATGACCGTTGTCGCTCCGCAGGGGCGAGTGCGCTGCTGGCCAGCTGGGGCAGCACCAAGGACAAGCTCCAGTCCTCCACCGTCAACGTCCTGACCAAGGCCGAGTGCGTCAAGAAGGGCGTCAAGGAGGGCCTGCTCTGCTCCGCCGATAAGGGCAAGGGGGCCTGTGGGGTGAGTACACGCCGCCACGAAAATACCCCGCTGGTGTTTGAACCCGGGCCGATCAACTCTACGGTATGCGCAGGGCGACGAGGGGAGCCCCATCGTCCAGGACCTCAAGAACGGCGTGTACAAGCTGGTGGGCATCGTGACTGGCGCCCAGGACGTCAAGACGTGCCTGGAGACCACCGCCTACTTCGACGTGGCCAAGTACTCCTCGTGGATCCTGGACAAGGTGTACGGATAGGCCGCGTCGCTCAACGTCAAAAGGTTCAAAGGGCTGTGTTTATCAATGAAGGTTCTGTAAATGAGAGAGGTGAATAAAACTATGGCTAGCTCACTCGGCTGTCTGTTTCTTGAAGCTTCCTCCTCCCCGCACCCTGCCCGCCAAGCTGCGGTGGTTCGTAAGGACCAACCTAACCTCAGTAACACCGTGCTCCGAAGTACGAAACCGTCCCCCAGTTTAAAACCTCCCGCCGGGTAGCAACCCTCTCCTCTCCGGCCGGAAAATTGATGACAACGGGGCGGGAGATAGCGAGTCCTGCAATAAAGAAAGCGGCTGCCGATGTGTTCCCAGGCTTTTCCAGGGGAGGCCCTGGAACGCCTCTCCGTCTCGAGGCCGCGCCAGTGCGCCACACGCCAGGCCCAGGGCGGCACGGCCCAGGGCTGCCAACTTGCGCCCTATCTTAACGGCTTCCAGGTCAGTAATCGCAGTCACAGTTGGGGGCAGTCCGGCAGGCAACCGTCGTAAACCCAGCGCCGCTCAAGCCGAGCCCTGGCGATGCCGAATGGGTTGCCTACCCGGCAGGCGGCTCGCGCGCCCGCCCGAAGGGCCAAAGGGTTGCCTACCTCCGGGCGGCGGCGTCGCGACGCCCAGCGCCACTCCGTCGCTCTGTCTCTCTCGCACTCACGGGGCGTTCCGTAAGGGTGCGAGAGAGACAGAGCGACGCAAACCGCTGTGCTGGGCTCCGGGGCCGCGCGGATGATCGAGATTGACGGCAGCGTCGGGCAGCACGAGCCAAGGCGGAGCGGTCTCTCTCTCTCTCTCTCTCTCTCTCTCTCTCTCTCTCTCTCTCTCTCTCTGACGAACACACACACACACAAGGCGCAGTGCGGGGAAGGTCCAGCCAACTCGATCCGCTTGGCTCACTGTTAAACGCACAGCGGTCTTCGCTCCGCTCCGCTCCCTCTCATTTTCCTTGCCGCGACGATGACGGGAAGGAAGGCGCCCCCTGCGGGGAGGCTGGGACTGTAGCGCGGTGCCAGGGCGGAGCCAAGTGGCAAAGGGTGCAAATCAGACAAGCGTGAATGTCTGCATGTCTGCAGCGAGGGTCGCTGGCGGTCGCTGGTCGCTGGGTCGGACGGCGCGCCATCACGGAGCAATCCAAGCAATCCGAGGAAGGCGAGAAGAAGCTGGCGGGCCGCGATGAGCGGGGGAAGGGAAAGGGATGGGAAGGATGCACGAAACAGCACGGCCGGGTGGAGATGCATATTTATCATTGGCTGCATTCCATGAAGACTTCCTCTCTTGTTACTGCCCGCCCCCCGCCCCCACCATAAGAGGGTGCTTTTTTTTCACCGCCCCCTCCCCCTCCCCGTCGCTCACGCCCGGTCGCCGGGGCCCTCCTTCTTCGCAGTGGTGCTTCGCAGGCGCCGCAAATCGTTTTGGACACCCTCCAAGACTGCGGAACGAAAAACAATAGCGCCGCGCAGCGCGCAGCGGGCCGAGAGCCTGCCCTGCCCAGCGAATCCGAAAAGCGGATGTCTCTGTCGCACCCGCAGGGAAGCCCCGCGAGTGCGACAGAGAGAGTCGGTCTTTCTGAATCGCCCGGCAGAGGGCAACGGCGCAGCGGCCACGGCAGCCATGGGCCATGTGCAGTGTACACGGGGTTGCGGGGAAAAAGTGGAGGGCGGGGCAGGGCGTCGTGGCCGCTTGTCCGCCCCCGGGCCGCCCCCGGCCCCGCACCTATCGAGATATCGAAGCGGACTCGACCTCGGGGCCTCCGGGACGGGCAGCGGAGACCGATTCCGGAGGGTCACTTCGTGGCTCTGTCTCTCTCGCGCCCTCTTCCGGGACGCCCCATGAGTGCGACAGAGACAGAGCGATTCTTCCGATCGGCAGCCCTGGCGATGGCGCGGTCCGGCCGTGCAGGCGTGCGCGGGCCACGCAGATTACTGCTGGCAACGCCTAATTGAGAATTAATGCGCATCCCCGGGGCCCAGGCCCGGGGCCGCAGCAGACTGAGAGTCGTCTTCGTCGCTCTGTCTCTCTCGCACTCATGGGGCGCCCCGTATGTGTGCGAGAGAGACAGAGCGACGAAGGAGTCCGCAGGGCGGCAGGGCGCGGCGCGGATCGGAGGCGCGGGCCCCACAAGGGCCGCAAGACGAGGTTCCGTGCGGGAGCCTCACCTCGAGCCCCGAGCCCCAGGCCCGGAGCCCAGAGCCGTCTCATCGCTGGTTCAGCGGGGCACTGATGGTGCTTAAATAAGGGGCCTGATTAACCCCGGGAGACACACTGCTCTACGGGAAAGCAATTAGCGGTGGGCAAGCGGCGCGGCGAGGAAAGGAACGAAGCGGCCGATCGGCAGGCAAGGCGGTGAGCAGCAGACTCATTCGTCGCTCTGTCTCTCTCGCGCTCGTGGGCCGAGCCGTGTAGGTGCGAGAGAGACAGAGCGACGAAAACGACTCTCGGAGTCAGTCTGCAGGCGGTGAGCGACTCGGGACCGGATTGAGTTAGCGGCAGAAGAAGCTCGGGACCTTTCTTTCCTTCAGCCGCTTCGAAAAACAACAAAAAGAAGACGGGGAACAACAACACGAGGCAGCGAGTTGTCAAAGCGTGGCGTATGCTTTTCCGCGGCTCCACCACACTGCCAAGGCACTGCAGCACAACACCGCGAGGGTAGTTGTAGTTTTGGGCCTGGAGTTTGGCTCGCCGCGGCTTGCCGCTCTCGCCGCTCTAGCGGTATCGGCAGCACTCGTCTTCCGCATCAAGAAACTCTCGCGGGCCGCGCGGGAACAGGCAAAGAAGCCCAGCAAAACACTACGAAAGCAGCGAAAAAAAAGATGGAAATAGAAAAGTTGAGAGTGGTGCGCCGGATTCGGCTAGGCGAGGCTAGGCGAGGAGGGAGCGCCCTATGCACCCCTACCCCTTTTCGGCCTTTCCCCTTTTACGGTGTGGTGCCCGCACTCCGCGGCAGCGGGGCTAATTAACGTGCGTGGAGGCTGTCATCCACAGAGAGCGGTGCCGAACGCGCCCTGCGTCTCTCTCGCACCCCCACGGGGCGCAGCGGGTGCGAGAGAGACGGACTAGGGGCCGCACCGGCTTTGTGAGTCTAGCGCGACCCGCCGAGCGATTCGGGGTGAGTCGCTCCGTCTCTCTCGCACCCTGGTGGCAAGTGCCATGAGTGCGACGGAGACAGAGCGACGACTCCGTGGAATCGGCGCAGCGCGACGCCTTTGACGCGGTTGCAGGGCCCTGCAGGGCTGCACACGTGTCAGGCACTCCAGCCTGCACTGCCGCCTGACTCCGAAGGACTCTGTCTCTGTCGCACCCATAGGCGTCGCCGGGGAGTGCGAGAGAGACAGCCGACCTTTGGCACCAGGCGGCACGGAGCAAAGGGCGCCGCGGGCCGCCGTGCCGGGTAGGCCACCCATCCGCCACCACGGCCGAGGACTTCCCTAGACCTCCGTCGACTCGACGAAGCTTCTTCCCAAACCATGAGCACTGGACAGTTTCGACGTTCCGGCGGTTCGAGCCTCTCCATTGACAAGATGCACTTTTTTCCCTTCCGCACTTTTCTTCCCGACTCGTCCGTCCGCGATGGCGCCAGGGCAGCGCCAGGGCCAGCAAGCAGCGGACCAAATATTTAGATTTCTAATTTCGATGCAAATAGAGCCATTGCCGGCGTTAAAATGCGCGGAGCGAGGCGGCCGGCGCTGAAGACGGGCACGGCACTGCCAGGGCACTGCCAGGGCACTGCCGCGGCGCCGTGGCACTGCGCTGAGTGGCAGGCAGGGCAGTGGAAAGGACGGCAGGGCAGCGATTTGGAGCAGATGTTGATCCTTGCCAAACTGGAGCGAGTTGCACCGGAGCTCATCGCTGAATATCGAGAGGGAAAGAAAGAGAGAATTTCGTCTCGTTCGCTTCATTCCGATGGCGGGGCGCCGGCCGGCCCGTGGTGACAGGTGCGCCCGTTTTTAGCACTTCGCAGAAAAGAAGGACTTTTTTTACAAAGACTCCCAAGGAGCCTAAAGGCAAGCCACGTCAAAATGACGCCAAAATGACGTCGAATGATGTCACTTCAACGCCAAAATAGACCAAATTTTTAAGAAGTTCTTTCATTTTAAGGTTAAGGCGATATTATTTTGATTTTTCTGCTCGCCTAACAGGCCGTTACAGTCGACAAGAAATTAAAAATACTAACGTGTCATCGGATGAAAAAGAAGAAGGAAGGAAAGCTGCTCCCTTTTGGGGAGACATTGTGAGGGGGTTCGCGGTGTAGAGAATGATGGGGTGGGTCGCCACGCCGGCAAGTTTGGGCGGTAGCCAGCCCCGCCAGTCCTGCCGGCCCACAGCGCCGATGGCATTTGACTGCTTTGCCGGCCAACGGGCAGTGGTCCTATCGGCACATTTACCCGTTTCCGTGATTTGCGAACCAACGCGTTTCCCGAACACCCGCTCCGGATATGATAAACCCTGCCAGGATGGCATAGAGAGGCATAGGGACGGCTGATTGTGTAAACACAAATCACGTCAATCATTAGACATCCGAAAAATTTTAAATTTTAAATTTTAAAATACTTTTACGTACTAACGCTACCCAACTAATTGCTTGTTCTACCTCAGGCAAGCCGAATATCCGTGTGCTGGCACATTTTGCTTTCAGCTGGACATTCAGCAGTAGACCAACCAAAAATAAAAAGCTCTCTAGAGCAATCTGGGCAAAAAAAAAAAATTAACAAAAAACAAATAAAACCTAGGTTTTGGTGAGAGTTTTGGCTGCGCGGCTGCAGGCCATGCGAGCTTTGTGAGCGCCTCGCTGCTTTATTCGGAGCCATTCATCGCGGCGAGACAATGACCGCCAAAATTCCCTGATTAGTCTGGAAAAGCCTGGAGGACCCGTAAGGACTGGTAAGGACCGCCCCCTCCCCCCGGAGCAGTGAAGTGCGGCGCGCGCTGCCCCCCACAGTGGGCCAGAAGACCGGTGGAGGCGGTGGACGCGTTTTCAGCTCCAGAGTCGCTACATGGGACTCGAACTGAACGTGTGACCCCACCAATGGATTGCTCTCCGAACGAGGAATCCATTGGTGGGGTCACACGTACGGTTCGAGTTCTATTTA